TCCATGCCCATGCATCATTTATTGGCTGAGGACTTCAATATCAAAATGCCAGAGGTATATTATTCTATACCATTACTGGTTTTCATTGTTATAGTGTATAGAGCACTGAATGGCGAATTTAAACATTAAAGCTAAAGACTCAGTTATTAGGATATAACTAAACAAAAAGAAAAGAAAAGAAAAAAAAGAAACAAAAAACAAATGAAAAGGAAAAAGGGGAGAATAAAGTAAATAGTTAAAGCGAAATGTGGCATTCAATTCATTTTGAAGTAAAGGCACAGTTAACCTCACATTGTAAATAACTATCAAAGTGTCCTTAACTTATAAATTTCATATCTCTATTCATCATTTCCTTTTTCACCATGCTAGGAAAGTAACATGGAAAGATCAATATGTAATAGATGGATAGGAATCTCTTTCTTAATTTCACTGTAATTGCATATAGTTCCTCAATTACATTTTTATGAAGAAAATTCCTTTCACCTGGGTCTGATAGGTAAACTCATCACAATCAATTCAATTGCATCCTCACTGCTACTTCAAAAATCAATTTTGCCTTTAGCTTTACATTTTATCTTATGAAATTAATAAACCATATTGATTTTTATGGTTAACTTGCAAGTTTAACTTAGTTATATGAACTTCTCTTATTTAGATTTCTCCCAATGAGTTTCTTTCAAAAATTTTCACTTGAACACAGGCTGCTTTCACTAGATCTTCCCTCTAATTATGGAATCAAGCTTAAACCATATACTTTGAAAGGGCTTGTTTAGTATCTAATCGAGATGTGACAACTCTTTTCTTAATCAAATAACTATGTCTTCTGTTGATGATCCTTGCACCTTCGTGGATTTATCTCTTCTTTAACACATCAATAATGATAGTATGGATCTAAGTTAGTGAAGATTTTTATTTATAACATTTTATTTCTTTGATATGTAGATGCTTGGCCTTGTTCGAATTTGGAAAAAAGGATTGTTCCTCTCATAATTGAAGTGTTAAAAATGCAAAAGACCTGGCCCACATCTTTCTTCTCAATTTGATTTGTTTATGTAAGCTTATCAATAATAAAATTTCGTAATATAAAGTGATATTACTTTTCTCAATTCGTTTTACAAAAGTAAGAAGTTTTATAAACTGATGCACCTATTTTCAAAAAAAAAAAAAAAGAAAAATTATAAACTAGACCACATGCCTTCTTTTTTTTTTTTTCTTGTCCACGGCGAATCTTGGATAATCTTTTTCCACACAAACCTTGTCTTTGGCGAGTTAGAAAAACAAATAAATTTTTGGCCTTTGTTAGGGAATAAACTTGTCCTTACCTAATCAATGGGTATGCAAACTGCACCA